TTGTCATGTTTCCTGTCTGGTCTACTTGGGAGGATGACAGTTGTAAAGCTCAGTTTTGGGAAGTGATTTACATTAGAATGAAACACATTTTAAAAACCAAATTCCCATTTTGACCTGTCATATTGTTATTAATTTTTACTAAACCATATATTCTTTCAAAGAATACCGAACTAGCTTTGTATATGTTAATTGCCAAATAATATTAAATGCTTCTTGCTGGAACAGCCGTTTGATTCCCTCCTTGGAAAAATGGTTAACAAAGTTACAGGAAAATGCTTTGCTATCCAAAATCTCTTAAAAGTAAATCTGTGGTAAAAATTTAATTCTAATTGGAAACCGTTCCTGGATGATAACTTAATAGATGGGTCTGTACCTCAACCAAATTTGAGCTTTTCTATGCATAAAATCTAAGTTCATGAGATATTCCAGTCTGAATAGATAATTAATTATAGCTTATAATTTCACCCAGTGATTTAAACTTTGTTCACTATGGTTCCTTATGCACGCTCTTTCCTTAAAGCTTCCTAGCTTTTTAAAGTAACATAACATTTTACAGTTCATAAATAATTAAAGTGATATTGGAGAACTCCATTACTTTCCAATTCCCTTCCCTTGCTCACTTATTTGTAGTTTATTAATTGCATCCTCTTTTATTATTGTTTTATTATTATTTATAACATTTTTATGGCTGCCCTTTCCAAAAGATTCTGGGTGCTTACAAGTTCCAAATATATAATTAATACATTTAAACAACAGTTCTTTTTATATGTTTTTATCTCTTTTTTTTATTCCTCCTCTAAAATATTTAACTGAAAAAGAGGATACGGTTGGGATGAAATAGACTGAAGCTGCTGTTTGTTCATCAAGGCTCCTTGAGGCTTCCGATATTGTCTCTGTGTGAGGAGGCCCTGGCCCTGAAAGAATAGATTCATGACCTGACAGGCTTCTTGAATTTCTGGCCTAAATGTCCAATAGGAGCCATGGCCAGGGGATTTTATCAAGCTATGCCTGACACAGAAATACTAGCCCCATCTAGAGTTAGAGACCTTTGTAGCAGTAAGGTATGTCCCAATGAATATTTGTCTAGACCAGAGGTGAGGAACTAAGGCCCCGTTATGACTTGTGGACTTCAACTCCCATAATTTCTGAACCAGCCATGCTGTCAGGGTTCCAAGTAACACCCCCAACGAAAGAAGACTCTGAGGCTTGAATTTCCTCAAAGTTCCATTTTACTGAAGATGTCATATTGGCACATCTGGGAAAACCTGAATCTGAAAGCTTCCAGATTTTTCCCACCCAAAATAAAGTTCAAGTCCCTGCCCAGCACCCACATGTCCATCACCTGATCCAATCAGGCACCATCCAAAACTGGAGATACCTCCCAGTTACCTCATCAGAGCTGCAGGGCACTGTGGCCTTGACTCTCTGAGAAAAGAATGTTATGTTGACTATATATCACCCATACTCTATACCAGGGTGGGTGGGCAACTGTGGCCCTTTTACGACCTGTGGACTTCAACTCCCAGAATTCCTGAGCCAGCTTTTACAACCTGGTTGACAAGACAACCAGCTTGGCTGTCTCAGGAATTCAGGGAGTTGAAGTCCACAGGTTGTAAAAGGGCCACAGTTGCCCACCCCTGCTCTATACAATCTCCCCTCCCATTTTCCCACAGCAGAAAATGTGGCAGGCCTGAAGGCCCAACTGTAAAAGATGGCTTTCAGGTTTGACAAATGCTGGGTCAGGAATTCTAGGAGTTGAAGTCCACGGGTCATAAAAGGATAATAATTTCCCATCCCTGCTAGACCATCTCAGCCTTTGAAGACCATTTGGAAGCTTCAATTGATCAGAATGCAGCAGCCCAGTTGTTGGTAGATACATATCATCATGAGCATATTATACCTCTCCTTCAGGCCCTGAGCTGTCTCAATATTAGTTTCTAAGTGCAATTCAATGTGCCAAATTTGACCTTTAGAGTCCTATGAAGGTGGTCCCAGAGCACCTGTAGGGACATCATCTCCATCCAATTGCAGTCCATCACAATCACACATCTTGGGAGAAATTGCTTAGGACCCTCCAACTTTCATGAAGGAAATGAGGTGGAGGTTTGTAGGCAGCTCTTTTCGCCCCTCCCCCCAAAGAAATTTGGCTTACTTGCACTCTATTGGCTTTCTGCAAGTTATTAAAAACCGAGTTAGCAATTTGAGGAAGGATACTAAAACCAACACCAAGGACTTAAGTGGCTATCTACCAGATAACTAAACTTCAGTGCCCCCAATTCCAAGCTAATTGGCCATTCTGGTTGGGGATTATGGAGAAGCATATCTGGGGGAACTAGGCAGCCTAACAGAATATGCCACATATAAAAACTTGGATTGATTTAGCACAGTCCTTCTAGTCATCAGTTGATAGAAGTGTTAGATGTTAATGTGGTGATTTTTCAGAATTATACTTCCAAATCGAAAGCTAACCTGTTTCTTCCAGATGTTTTGCATTACCATTTCTAAATTCCAATGTCACTGCCCATGCTTGCCAGAGCTAATATTAACTGAAGTCCAAAATTCAGTCCAAGGGAATTGAAATCCTACTCTTGCTCTTTAATAAGGGAAAATGACACATTAACAGATGCAAGTATCTTCCTATATTACCCGCAAATACAGTAATCCTCGACATACAACAGTTCATTTAGTGACCGTTCAAAGTTACAACGGCACTGAAAAAAGTGACGGATGACCGATTTTCACACTTACAACCATTGTAGCATCCCCATGGTCACATGATCAAAATTCGGAAGCTTGGCAACTGGTTTATATTTATGACGGTTAGAATCCCCCGGGGTCACACGATCCCCTTTTGTGACCTTCTGACAAGCAAAGTCAATGGGGAATCCAGATTCACTTAACAACCATGTTGCTAACTTAACAAATGCAATGATTCACTTAACAACTGTGGCAAGAAAAGTTGTAAAAAGGGGCAAACCTCACTTAACCAATGTTTTGCTTTAGCAGTGTAAATTTTGGGCTCAATTGTGGTCGTAACCCAAGGACTAACTATATTCATTTCTTTCATAGCAGATTTTCTACTGTTGTTTCAGCTTTAAACCAATCGAAAACATGCAAACCGGAAGTTGCTGTCCACCATGAATATTTCCATCTAGTATAATCTACTCTGGGGGGGGGGGAAACTCTCTGGGAACATAGAGGTCTTCTTCATATCTCCAGGTATTCAATTTCTCTACCTGGAAATGCTGGAGACAGAATCTGGGACCTTCAGTATAGAAAGCATGCCATCTCTTGCTTAGCCATGCTCTCTTTCCAAACGAATGAAGGAAACAGCAGCAGGAAAAGGATGCAGTTGGAGGTTGTGTCACAAGTCGCAAAGGAATGACCTTTTGCATAAGGGAGATGGGACAATGTACATTGAGCTTCACAACTATGAAAACTGTATGTTTCCTGCCTAACAAGCACACCTCTGAGAGGCTGTCAAATTTCAAATCAAGTTCCATATAGATTTTAATGCCCATATAATCATACAGAAGACTCATAAATACGTTTCCACTGGAAATCTCTATTACCGAACAACAGAGCATCATCACTGATATTTACATATGTAATTCTTTTATTTGCCTGTTAATTAAGTTGAATGCCAATAATTTCTCCCTGGTGTAAAACAGTAAAACATGGTACTTGGTTTTTATTGACAGTCAAACACACTTTTTGGCATCACAACGTCGTCGTCATCTCTTTAGATTTATGTTAGACATACACACCTCACACCCCATCTCATTTTCTCACACAATTCTCCTGAAGCAACTAGTAATCATCATCATCATCATCATCATCATCATCATCATCATCATCATCTGGTTCAACTCAACAAGCAAGAGAACAATTTGCTGCAGAAATAGACTCCATATTGTGCTTGCCACTTCTGCCTTGGCAAAATTTGAATCTGTGTGGCATGGTAAAGAATTCAGAAACAGCTTGCTATGAAATCCATCCTTGGTAGAACTCTAAGGAACAAAGCTGGATCCTAGATGGCTCCACATTATCTGATAAGGGGAAGATTTAAAAGAAAAACAGAAGATCGTATCCTTTAGAAAACTATCATCTCTAGTTTGAGGAAATAGAAGCTGGTTTGCCTAAACCAGAACCCTGGGATTTGCAATCTGAAATTACCCAGCGCTTTCACTCCATCGTTTGTACCCCACACACCTGTTCCAAGCTGGGGGTGAGGAGGAGCCTGAGGTGACCCCTGCTACATGTGCTTGTCTAATACAGATTTACTCCATGCAATCTTGAGAAAGAATCCTTCAAATCGTCTACATATTCCCATCAAAGGTGCTAATAATATTCTCTCCCGAGTTTCTCGCAGGGGGGATGACATGGAGGTCATCTGAAAACCTCAGGCATATCCCTAACTGATTCAGTTGCAGTAGCATTTAGCTGGGAGCAAGAGATCCCTTCTAACCTCAACACTTTCCCAATGTGAGTATACACATTTATTGGTGGCCATGATCTACTATCACCTTGGCAACAAGGCTAGGCTGCCCAGAATTTCCTTCTCAGACAGTAGGATCTTCTATGGGAAATCTAATACAGGATCAGGTAAGACAAGAGGCTCTACAAAGGAATCATGATTAACAATGGGAGGGGAGGAGACCCTATGTTTCTACTACTGCAACTCTTTGCAAAAAATAGCATGCCAACTTGTTGCCTATATTGAATTATGTCACGCAGAATCCCCCAGTAGTTGGAATTCTGGGAATGGTAGTCCTAAGATCTTAGAAGGTATCACAGGCTGAGGAAATCTGTCTACTCTTTCTTCTCCTATATTGCAAACCAAGATTTGGAGGTCTAACATCTCCCAATCACAATATTAAACAGTCAGGTCCTCAAGCCCTCTTCATTATTTAGCCCACAGCATCCACACTCAAGATCAGTGGACAGGAGGTCCCACCTATCCCCACGCTCTCATCCAGAAAGCAGGGTCCAATACTTACTGGGTAATTCTCCCTTGGTCAGCTCAGCACTAAGCAGCTCTTTATGGCTCAGACTCCAGCCAGGCCCAGGGTGAGTGGGAGTGGAAGCCGGACTCTTGGTGAAGATGCCACTGATGAACTTGAGCATTTTTCGGTCACGAGTGGAGGCCCTTCCACCCTCCCGGCCTCTCTTCAGCCCTACTGCAGCCTCTGAGGAGCAAGAACCAGATGAGGCTAAGCTGACTGGGCCATGGTTGAGGTCACTGTTGTCCAGAGTCTTGCTTTTGTTTTTGTGAGGCGACAGTTTCGCCCTGGACCCTCCTCGGGGGACAGTCTCCCCGCTCCCTTTGACTGCCACCTTCATGCGGCCCTTGACTTCACTCTCCGGCCACGACAGGCGATTTGGGGTACCCCCTTTGTGGCTCCCCTTGCTGGCCTTTGACTCTGTACCCACCTTAGCCCCCGTGGTGGTCACCGTTTTGAAAGGCTTATTTGTGGCCAAGCGGAGGCGGCGATTTCCAGCAGCAGGGTGAGGAGAGGAGGCTCCCGAGTGAGAGAAGGAAGAAACACCCACACGGCTCACCGTCATTTCCATGGTCCCAGGCTCAGGGCCACCCCAGCTAGCATGACTGACCAACATCCGGCGTCCAGGTGCAGCAGCACTGGAGGAGCAGCTGGCAGTGGTTGGAGGTGGGATTGGCAACTCATCTCCAGGGATCTCCAAGGTTTCCTTCAACCCAGCCTTGGAGGGGATCAGAACCACTTCTGGTTTTGGTGGCACACTGGGCATGACTGGAACCAAAATGGCTTTGGGCTTTGGAGCTACAGCAGGAGCTGACGGGGCAAAAGTACCTTCAGGCTTAGAAAGGAGAGTGGAGGAGACCGAAGGGCCGACCATCACAGGTTTGGGAGGAGCAGATGAAAAGATAATGCCCACAGGTGGTTCTGGTTTGGGGGGGATGATGGGGGCTATAGAGGGAATTGCTGGTTCGGGTTTGGGTGGCAGAACTGGGGCTATGCATGGCATAGTTGCCTCACGCTGGAAGGGCACCACAGGCTCAGGTTTAGGAGCCAGAGGCGGAGCGATAAAGGGGACAGCTGGCTGAGATTTGGAGGTCAACGCCATCTCGGGTTTGGGGGGCACAGCTGGTGCAACAGGGAGCACCAGTGGGTCAGGCTTGGGGGGCACAACTGGAGCCACTGAAGTTCCCAGCACCTCAGATCTCGGCATCATGGCTGGTGCATCCAAGCTGATGGTGGCTTTGGCCCTGGGGGCAGCTGCTGTTAATCCGAGATTTGGATCCCAAGGACTGCCTTGGCTGCTGCTGCTGCTGGGTGGGGTCCAGAGAGATCCAGCTCGCCCAGTGCCATCAGGGGATGGGGATGGGCCAGGCGTCTCAGGGCAGCCTGGCGACAACTGCAGTAGGTAGTCGGGAGTGCTGGCGCTGCTGGTGCTAATCCAGAGCGCATCCTGCCGGTGGAAGATGCGCTCTTGCCTCTTGATCTTGGCCGCCTCCTCAGCTTCCTTATGGCTCCTTAACCCGGAGGATTCGGCAACTGATGGAAAAGCCATAGGGCTGGAGGGGAGGCTGCCTGCTCTGCCCTCCGGCTGAGAAGCCCCATCCTCAGCCCTTGCCTTCTCATCCTCTGGCGGTTGCTGCTGCTGCTGCTGCTGCTGCTGCTGCTGTTCCCCTTGCTGGAGCTGCTGAACGGACTCGAGCTTCACAAGGGTCAGGGAGATCAGGTAGGTCGTCCTTCGCTGCAGGGTTGCTCCTCTGCTCATGAGTGCCTGGGGGAACGGACGGCGGCAGTGCCCACACCGTTAGCCAGCATCTGCCAGACGTTTCTCCTCTTGCTGCTGCTGCTGCTGCTGCTGCTGCTTCTGCCGCCGCCGCCGGTTGGGTGGTTGCCACCCCCTCTGGATGGCAGCGGATGCCAGCCGCCAGCTGGAACCCTAACGCCTCCCCTGCTCTGTCCATGCACAAAGGGCAGCTCCAGAGGAATGCTGCAAGAGCCGGAGCATCTCTTCCAAACCTTATTTATCCACTTCCCTGCAGCTCAGCTGCCGAAGGCCTGAAGGTGAGCATCTTCCAAGCAGCCCCTTTGCCAGCGGATAAATAAAGTCCAAACGCCAGAAGCTGGGCAAAGGGGGTGGGGTGCTCAGCCTCTTTCCAGGAAGAAATCTCAGCCACCGATGGAGCCCGGCGTGGGATGCGGCGGCTTCCGAAGAGGCAAACTGGCAGGAGGCAAAAAGGATGGCTGTTCCCGTGCAGAGAAGCCCGGCGCAGGGAAGAAGAAGGGGACAAGGGAGGAGATGGGGGTAGAAGGCAATATATATATATATAAAAAAATAAAAATCACAGCTTCGTTGCAAGCATGTCCCCTTTTGTGGTGCTGCGGCAACCTCGGTAGCCCCTCAGTGCAGACCTCATAGTGCTGGCGAGTTGCCAGGATCTTTCACACTTTCCCCTCCGGTCTCGTCATTTGCAGCGCTCCTACGGTGCATCCTTTTGCCCGTCGCCCCAGCCCTCTTCGTCGGCCTTCCCGGTTTGCTGTAATCCGCCCAAGCTGAGCGAGAGGCCAGTCGGACACCTTCTTTCAGCTCTCCCCCACCCCCCCCACCCCTCAAATCACCCGCCTCTGCTGCAGCAATTCCCTCCTCCTCCTCCTCCTCCCGTTGGTTTTGGAAAAAGGAGAGGTGGGGGGGGTCTCTGTCCCCCTCCCCTCGGGTGGTTTCTACTTTTTTTAGCGCATCTTTGCTTTGCACGCGCTCCTCCGTGCAAGCTGCTTCTATAGCACTGGCGAAAGCAGCGGCTAGCGGCAGGCAGAAATGCGGAGATAGCGGCGGTGGGTGGGGGAAAAAACGCGTGGAAATCATAAAAAAAAAAAAAAAAAAAAAAGCAGAGCTATGTCAGCACTAGCAGCCAACCCCTTCGCTGTGAGGCTGATTCCCGGAAAAAAAAGAAAGAAAGAAAGAAAAAGAAAAAAAGAAAAAAACGGAAGCTCTTCCCTGTGTCACGATCGCTTGCTGTATCTCCGACGGTCCCGACTTAAGAGGAAAAGGATGGGAGGAGAAGGAAAAAGGATTTAAAATGTAAAAAAAAAAAAAAAAAAAGGAAAAAGAAAAAAAAGAGCGGGAGGCGGGAGAGACGAGATGTGGAGACTTATCACATTGAATATACACACGCCAAGAAGTGAGGGCTTTTTTTTTTTTTTTGGTGCCGAGACACGAGGAAATCCCGGACTGGATCTCCTTGCGCACACAAGATCTCTTCCCTTTTCTCAGCCGCTCTTCAGACATGACACGGGGCGGGGTCCTATTAGGGCATGTCTGAACCTAACACGCCCTTCCGGTGCTGGCCAAAAGGAGAGAGAATGAGGGGAGAGGGGGGGTGGGGGAGCGCAGATGTTACATCTTTCGACGCAGAGCTAAATTAGCCAGCCTAATTGACTTCTTCAGTTCGGCCCCGTTGCCAAGGTCATCAGTCAAATCTATTGCAAAGTGCTGGGAAGGCCCACATCTGGAGGTTAGCCTCCGCTGCCTAATGCTTGCCTGCATGCCTGTCTGCCATGGGATCGGTGGGGGTAATTAGAGAAGGAAGGGGGTTTGCCTGTGTAGTTATAGGTGGCTAGGGAGCCCGCCCTGCTTAGCCACCCCACCATCTGCCCTTTCCCTTCCTTACTCACAGAAGCTGGACAAGCCGGACAAGTGGCTCCATCAGGCAAGAGAGAGAGACGGGTTAAAGTGTCTGGAGTTGGTCATCTCAATTGAATGCCTTTTTAATGCCAGTATTGATTTAGCCACAATAAGTGTTCGGTGCTGCGGAGAAACATCGAGCTTTGTGGATATGGCCCTAGGGCATTGGTGGGATTCAGATAATTTAACAACCGGTTCTCTGCCCTAATGATTTCTTCCAACAACCAGTTCGCCAAACTGCTCAGAAAGTTAACAACCGGTTTTCCCGAAGTGGTGCGAACTGGCTGAATCCCACTACTGCCCTGAGGGAACAGTGCATTCTCATCCATTGGGATAGCAAGGGTGTAGCACCACCACCACCAAATCTGGGCTGCAAAAAAAAATCTCGGGCTACCACGTGATCATTGGTCATTTGGCCAGAGCTAATAGTCTGTCAGGTGCAGAGAATCAGGATCCCATGTTCCAATTAAGCTGACTTACTGCTGGTGCCTACGCACAAGAATGAGCTCTAAATTGGTGCTAGATCATGGAATTCAAGGAGGGCTTGACTTGGCTCACTTGTGGGATTGTAATGACTCTAGGCTGATTCCTCTCTTGACTCCGGCCCCAGACTATGTCTGTTTTCCCCCTACATAGTCCTAAATCTAACCATTGGAAAATGGCTGGCAGTTTTTTTGAATGCTCCAGACCAGAGGTGGGTTTCAGCAGGTTCTGACCAGTTCTAGAGAACCGGTAGCGGAAAATTTGAGTAGTTCAGAGAACCAGTAGTAAAAATTCTGACTGGCCCCACCCACATCTATTCTCTGCCTCCCAAATCTCAACTGATCGGGAGGAAATGGGGATTTTGCAGTATCCTTCCCCTGGATTGGAGAGGGAATGGAGATTTTACGGTATCCTTCCCCTGCCACGCCCACCAAGCCACGCCCACCAAGCCACACCACACCCACCAAGCCATGCCCACAGAACCGGTAGTAAAAAAATTTGAAACCCACCACTGCTCCAAACATTTGATTCACCGTGTCCTAGAACCTAGATAGAATGTGCTGCCACATTACCTCATTCAGGATATAAGGGGAAGTTAGGGTGTGATTGCATAGGCTGCTGCACAATTTTCCTTAACTACTCTGTAATCTATTATTGAGTGGGTTTTCCCTGGACACTGATCCATGTATCTTGTTTTATCAACTGCACTAGTAGTTCATGCAATATTAAGTCACAAATGAACAAAACACAGTGAAAGTGTTGTGCCAATCCAGCCAGTAATTAGTTGATGTTCTCAATGGTATGAACCAGATTTTTTTACTTCAAATTTCTTTACTACCGGTTCTGTGGGTGTGGCTTGGTGGGCGTGGTATTGCTTGGTGGGCATGGCTAGGTGGGCATGGCAGGGGAAGGCTACTGTAAAATATCCATTCCCACTCCACTGCAGGGGAAGGATACTATAAAATCTCCATTCCCTCCCCAATCCAGGGGAAGGTTACTGCAAAATCCCTATTTCCTTCCGATCAGCTGGGACTTGGGAGGCAGAGAATAGATGGGGGCGGGGCCAGTCAGAATTTTTACTACCGGTTCTCCGAACTACTCAAAATTTCCGCTACCGGTTCTCCAGAACTGGTCAAAATCTGCTGAAACCTCCCTCTGGTATGAACCGAAGAATTGGGTTAATTCAGTTAACTATGGTTTAAAACAGTATGCAAACAAAACCTTGAATTTTATAAATCATAGTAAGATATGCTTTGCTTCATTATTAAATTAAAAATTGCATTTTTTTACAAAAAAAATAATAATGTGACTTCTATTTATTGTTTATTAAGCACTCATAGTATGTGCAGAGTTATAACCCAGAGCTATACGGGCAACCATATAAATTTTACAAATAAATAAAAAACTTTATTGGATTTATTAAATGCATGTTACAGCAATAAATGATTGGTTGTATGTGGTTGTATTTTCATAGCATATTGGCTGGTTTCATACGAAAAAGTAACATTCCAAAAAAGTCAACATTATTTTAGCCTAGCATGTTTGTGTTTTGTGAACCCGACCATACAGAAATAAAGTCTTGTATTATGGGGAACTTATTTCAGAGTCATACAGCCAGGTACCCCCGATGTTTGTGATACAGTCACTACAATCTAATTATTGGCCAGATAGTTTGATAGATGTTAGTCCAAAAATACGTGAAGGGCAGCATTTTGCCTATTCCTAATCTAATCCAGTATTGACCTAGTTCATTAAATGTTTACAATAATAATGGTTTATAATAAGCCATAATTGGCTATGTTCAATTAGCTGTAATTTAAAAGCCGTTTTTAATAAGCCTCAGTGACTGAATCAGCATAATCTGCTACTGTCTGCAAAAAAAACAAAACAAAACCTAACATGGCTTAATGTTGTATGGGAACTCAGCCAATCATTAATGCCTCTTTAAATACCAACAAAACCATATCTTCCTTCGTTATTTTATCATGTTCATAAGTACATAAGTGAGTTTCATATCTTGCCTCAACAAGTAGTTCAAAATTGCAAGAAAGCCAGGATAGTATGAAAAGTGGAAGTTTTGCAACTGTAGAGTTTGGCCAATTGAACCAGAGAAAAGTCAGCTTGCCATGATGCCAGCTTGAGAACAAACGGGTGTGGCACTGTGTCAGGAGCCATGCCAAAGCCTTAGGTAAAAGGACCATGTTTTTCAAAATAAGTACTAAGCAAGTACACAAGCCCATCCTTATCTCTTAAGGATATGTGATCCCTGCTGATATATGTCCATCTCCAGAGTTTCTGTACGTGTTCGTCCAACCAATAATATGATGTTGCCAGAAAAAAGGGACCAATTAATGCTAATTGCCTCTAAATATCCCAATTGACAGCACTATTGAAAATTATTCATACTGAAAAAGCAAGCCTGATCTACTCTGCACTGGCTGTTTCCTTTCCAAAGTGCTGAGGGAGCAATTCTAGCCAATTGTACTTACATCATAATCACTACAATTCTCTACATGGGTTGGAAGTTATTTCACTGTGCTGGAGAAGAAGCTTTCACATGGATATGTTCATATTCACATATTTGCTGCCACTGCAGAAAGCACTTGCTTCCAGAAGGTTGCTTCCAGAAGCAGCTTTGCACCTACTGATATGGGCACACTTACTCTAGTTTAAACCAACATGGTGCTCCATTTGAAAAACTGATTATCCACATACACACGGTTGGCTGAAATCTGCTAGGAGCTATCTCTACATGGACAGAAATCCACTCCTCAATTTAGGAACAGGTATGCACCAATGTAGGGACGCAGTGGCTCAGTGGCTAAGACTGAGCTTGTCGATCAGAAGGTTGGCAGTTCAACAGTTCGAATCCCTAGCGCCGCGTAACGGAGTGAGCTCCCGTTACTTGTCCCAGCTTCTGCCAACCTAGCAGTTCGAAAGCACGTAAAAAATGCAAGTAGAAAAATAGGGACCACTTTGATGGGAAGGTAACAGCCTTCCGTGTGTCTTTGGCATTTAGTCATGCTGGCCACAGGACCACGGAGACGTCTTAGGACAGCGCTGGCTCTTTGGCTTAGAAACAGAGATGAGCACCACCCCTAGAGCTGGAAACAACTAGCATGCATGTGCAGGGGAACCTTTACCTTTATGCACCAATGTGGAATGGATTCAGAATCAGAAGTTACTGCAGTATGCAAAACCATTTGTATTCAAATCTCTAAATACCTACTGTGCATTCCATGTGAAATCTTTATGCTAGTTTCTGGATTTTTTAATATTATTTTTTTGCACAAGAGATGGGTGAGTGACTGAGGAAGCCAAAACAGCTTGGAAGTTAAAAATTCTTTAACAGTGATTCAAGGGCTAAATTGATGCATCCTTTGGGATTTGTAAACCACAATCTACAAACCATAGTAGTTGAGATCATATAATATACTGA